ACGACTTGCTTATGAACAAGCCGCAACTGCTCCTCAGCAGTCTCTCGAAGCCCACCTCTTTTTCGCCAGATCAATGGATGCCTTTCCAAGTTTGACCGTTCTTGAAAAGAGGTAAGGAAAGGCGGTAGCCACCAGTAAGCATTCAAAAAGCATAATATGAAGGAAATGAGGTAGATACAAAATCAAAATTGATAATGCCCTCTGGACCTCGAGATCCAACCTCTTTGATGTCCTTAGGAGTCACAAACCTCCAAAGTTGCTCCTTGACTGAAGTCAAGTCAATGCATGGACACCGAGCTACTACTAGAAGTAGGACAGCTATGTGAAGCTACAATCCCCATAAAAATCGCATTGGAATCTCAACTCCTATAGAGGTACAAAGGCTAGTTCTGGTACACACAAAAGTTCTAGTTTGGGAAGGAGTGGGGGCACCGCCTGATCCCATCTTCCGGAAGTAACCTAGCCATCTGACCTTGCTCGAAAGTACTAGGGGAATCAAACCTCACCCTCTTGAGAAGAAGGGAAGATACCAACCTAAAAGCATAGAAAACCTCCACCATCGCCTTATCAACAGAGCGCCTATAATTGGAGACATGGTTATTATAAAGAACCAGCATTAAAAAACATTAAGGAGAAAACAAGATTAGAGAAAGCGAGTTTGACTCTTGCCCAGTCAAAAGCCATCATAGTCTCCCTCTCTAGCAAGAACTCAGAATGCCAATCCGTCGCCCATAAATGCCTGACAGCTGTCTGCCAGATCGCAACTTTTCACCATTGTCGGTTTCACTAATTTATGATTAAAATTCAAATTCAGAGAGATAGAAGCATTTTTTGGGAAAATTTGTTAACCAAACCGCCTTTAGAAGTTTGTATGTCGTAGATCTCAAAAAAATACCCAAATTCAAAATAAACATTCGCCTCAAACGGACAACCGAACGCAAAGTTATGACCGTTCAAAGTTTTGCCATTTTTTTATGATTTTCTGATACTCCAGTCGGCGCTCCAACGCACTCCCTTCTCCTGGCTTCGCCTGGGTCCTCCTTGATGTTGCCCAAACCATATGCCATCTTTAGCATCGCCTCTTCTTCCAAGGTAGCGCCCAGCTGCCTGGCGCCCAAGATAGCCAACGCCTAGCGCCCAGGCCAACCAGCGCCCTCGCCCAGCTGTCCACCTAACGTCACCCAGTGCCTTGGCACTTCCCAGGATATCCTTCATGCACTTGGTGCCGCCATCAGCTAAGCTTGCCTAATCTCCAAAGATGTTTTAGTCTCGATCTCCATAACGACGTCACCACAAGCATGGGTGCCTTCATGCCTCGCCTTGAGGAGCTCATGGGGTCATCCATAGAATCTCCCATGGATCCACCCAACAGGAATGGAAAGCTGAAAGAGTTACCGTGGAGAGTAAAGCATTCAATCTGCCAAGATGAAGAGCTAGCTCATGCCCTCAACCCTCACTTCTCACAAACAATCGAACGCTTAGGGCATGGGAGGGCAAATGATGAACCCAAAAATCAATTGGGTCAAGCCCAATAAACCAAGAAGGGCCCAAGTCACCAATGCCCAAAAGCGGCCCAAGTCACTAGTGCCCAAATAGGGGTTGCCCAAGCCTTTGGCGCCGCCCATGAGAGGGCCTCCTCACTTTGCCACTTCGATCCGACCCAGCTCAGGATTTAGGAAGCCCGAAAGAATAGGAGCATATGAGAAAGAATACCGATATACGCATCATGGAGATCTAATCCTACCTTAATTGTACTTACCAAAGGAGTAAAGCCCTTTCTCTCGCGTCACTGTCTCACCACCTCACCAAATCTATATAATATAAGTCTTCTTCACATAGAGGGTATGACCTTGAGGCCTCTACACTTTGAGATCCCTACACACATTGATTTTCTCTCCTCATCATTGTAATTCTCCTAGAGTGTACTCTCTCGGTGACTTTTATTCATCAATAAAAATTTTCAACCACTGCTGCCATTCACGAGAGTGGAATAGGTCACCTGAACCGAACTACTATAAATCTGCGTATCGACTTCATATTTATTATTTTGCCATTGATTATCTTATTTATTGCTCATTAATTGTACTATTACATATACTCAACTGTTGATTTTGCGCAATACAATTTTGTGCATCATCACATTTGATTTTCAAATTTCTTCAAATTTGCTTTCATCGGAGGAACTTTTTCTTCGGAGAGTGAAGTTCCGTCAACTTGTAGATCAAATTGTAGACCAATAGGAGTATACTCGTAATAAATCTAAATTAATATAATTAGGCTTAGACTGGAGAATGAAAATGTTCAGCGGGACTGAATCTCAAGTCTTAAAAAGTACACGGTTGAATTTATTGACAAATCAAGTACGAAAAAAAAAAAAAATTCAATTGAACTGGACCTAATGCCTTAAAAAAATTATATGAATGAATTTATTAAAAAATTAAGTACAAAATTTATAATTTTCAACAATTTACACTATGGTAAAAAAAAAAAAAAAAAACAGTTTCCAGTAAAGTAAAGGGATGACTGATATAAATGGGGGTGACATAGTAGGTAAGGTAACGGGATTGCAATCAGTTTGGAATTAGGTAGCCAAGTCAAAAAGTTGATATCTGATAGATATTAGTAGGATCAGTTGTCCCTGTACCTCTACAATGACTCAAATTAAATTATTGGGTCAAATTGCTGATGAGATGGACACTTGTTTCAACCATAACTCAATCGGACCCAAAAATGTTTTACAACATTTACAATAGGACAATAACCATGGGGAATATTATTGCACAAATTTATATTTTTTAGTATTGTATTGAAAAATAAAAATTAAATTAAAAAGTGACACATTTCCCTTTAAAAAGTTATGAATTTCACCAAAGCTAAGAACCTGATAAATGGTCCGATATCATTTTTTTTTTTCCCATACCATAATCGAAACCCCTATTACCATAAGGAGGCGACACTTTTTGTTTTTAGGATGGTCCATGCTGACACTACTTTGAAGAAATTATAATAGAAAAAGAACGTATACCCCAGGAAACGTTAACATCACCAAGTTGTTTTATGTCACAGAGAGAGTCCTCTCTATTTCTGGAAAAGTAAACATTTCCTGTTCAGTTCAATCAATCACCCATTCATACATAGAGGTCACGGGTGAATAGTTGAGCCGATAGTCTACCGTTTGTCTCCTCTTAGTTATCTCTGGAGATTGCTTAGTACATCTAGAACGCAGGATTGCATAAAAAGCAGTTTGCCACTTGGCCTTAGCTCAGCTGCTTAATGCTTTCCAGGTTAACCCCTTCGTAATTAATTTACATGACATTTATTTCTCCATTCATTCATCTATATGTACACATAACACACAACAAAAAAGGATGAAACCCACTTCACCCACATCAACCACTAATGATTTTACAGCACCAGAATAAGAATACACCTAACCATACTTTTGACCATTTGCTTTTGAAATCTCTTCCATGCTGAAGTTGGACTTCAAAACCTAATTCCCATGTGGTACTCCAACATCCTCACATCGCACCGTCTCAAAAATTTTCCATTGGTTTTTCCCTCACCTGCCCAAGAAATTGACATGGATCAAGTTAAATCATATTGCACAAGGAAAAATCAAAAATACAAGTTGCAGTACGAAAAATATAGCATCACAGCATAGTATTGCAGCTGTCTAGAAAGAAAGTGATCCCCGGAGAACTTAGCCTTGCCAAATTTCCAATCACCGGGCAGTGTTTGCACACCAAATTATGACTTTAAACTACAAAAGTTCCTCATAAACTAATGAATACATGAAATATGGTGTAGAAAGCTAAATGTCGCTCAAAAATATAAAAAAGGAAAGCTACATGTAGACCACAAATAATATCCTTCTGTATTGTGAAAAAATCCCAAATGTCCAAATATATATCAAAAGTCCTTTTTATGGGTGCTGCTCATGTGACAAAGGGAGTCTAGCCCTGAGAAATATGATGCCCTGATGACAAACTGAAGGAGCAATGAACTCAAATCCAACCAGTTTATGTTGAGAGATCTGCCTGAATATCTGCTATTATGGTAATTGGGTCCAACTTTCCCAAATTCACCACATTGCTAAGGCTTCATTTAATTTTCCAGCCAAAATTGAAAACTAAATATTTAATCTTCCGAAGAACTTCAATTTGATTATCTAAAAAGCAGCCCACCTAATCCAAAAAGCATAATAATTCTCAATTCATTTCAGAACCCTATTTCAAAGTTCCAACCATACAGACAACAATGCCACTTTAACATGTAATTGAGAGGGAAAAGAACAGACAGAAAGGAAAAAAACATGTATCGGAACGTGGCCATTTTAGCAATTTGAAGTATACTAAAACAAATTTCACACGAGCATACCAGATGAGTCTATTTTGGCCAAAAAAAATTCCCCCTTGGATTCTTCAAGCCAAACTATCCCCATAAAAAGGTGCATGTTGACATTTTGGAACAGAATATGTAAACTATAAACACACAACACTCAAACAGACCATAAACACTGTCCAAGTCGAAATCCACACTTGACTCCAATAGTGTACATTGATAGGTAAGCTTCTTTCCTACTCTAATTCCATCAAGAATCCAAGTGTCATTATATTTAAGTGGATCCAAACCCGATAGATAATTTCATAAAACAGAATCAGTGGAGGAACAATTAAAATCAAAGAAGAGTCAAAATCTAGATTGACAAATACTCTCCTAAATTTTTTTTTGTTCAATGGTCAGAGTGTGGGGCAAGTAAACTTACGCACACTTTCACTAATCCCCTCCTAAATTTCAAAAGCATATGAATATACTTATCTATTCTCACCAAAGTATTTACTCCTGCTACCAAATATTTACCACCCATAAGTCTCCATAGTCAACTCAACTAAACTCAAATAACACACTTAAAAAAACCCAAGTTTAACGAATAAAAAGAATACACAGACAGAGCAACTAAAACTTACCTAAACCAAAACTTAGTCCTTCAAAATGACCGAATCCGCAATTTCCAACAACGGGTCCAAGCAATCCGGAGAGAATTTCCTAGCAAACAAGTACTCGGATGTCGAATTCAATTGCCTGAGTTTGTAAATCAGAGCAGGGGACACCTCAGGAGGTCTATAAGTATGTGGGTGGCCATTAACACTCTCAGTCCAATTAACCCGAGTCAATGTGTAATGTGTACACCCATTTGGATCCTCCATTGACAACAATGTTGGAAAGTAATGCTCTTCTGGGTAACAAGACTCAACCCTCAAACATGGCAGCTTGAACTTCCTCCACAACCTCCTCTCCTTAACTACCAACAAGGCATGCCTTCGAGTTAGGATGAAAAATTGAGACCCAACTCGGAATTCGTCAAAGGGAACTTCGGGTAACATCACATTTTTCCCCCTGGCATTGTATCTATCCCACAGTGTGGATTCATTGGAAAGAATCTCGATAAAACTACGGTACTTAAACTCTCGAAACTGACCAAGCTTGGGCAATTTTGGATCTAAGAGAGTGTGATATACATACTTGAAGGAGTGGAGTGGTATGCAGTGTTGGGAGATGACAGCAAAATAGGCGTTGGCCGAGTCATCCAAAAGGGCGGTGGCGAGTAGGCGGCGAGCGGCGGAGATAAGTGTTGGTGATGAACGCTGAGTCACTTTTGACGGAATGAATCTATCTTGAAATACGCCTTTTGGGTTATCAATTTTCACAGTTGGGTCGGCGTGGACGTAGATATTGTAAAGATGGTGAGATTTTTCACCGAAGAAACGTTCCCACAAGGGAGCGAAGTGGAGATTGGAGTTTGTAAGGAAGAGAAATGCGATTTTGGATTTGGGGTTAGTGGCTCCGAGGCGGAATTTGGAAGATGGGTATGCTGATGATGATGATGATAAATGTGATTGAGACCATGTTTTGTGATATGATGATTCAGAGGAAGCATTCTGGAACAGGGCGAGATCATCGAGCTCGTCGGGGAGAGAGATGGGGACTTGGCGAGGAGAGAGAATGCGAGGGGCAAAGAGGAAGAGGATGGGGAGAGAAAGAAGGAGAAGAAAGGTTGGGAGGAATGGAGATGAGGACAACATGCTGAAAAGAGTAGGAAATGGGTATGATGGGAGAATGGTGGGTGCGGTTGATTTGTTTGGGAGGAGAGAAAGTGAGAGGGAAATTTTTAGGAGATTTTTAGAGTGAAGTGAGGGAAAATGGGGAATGGGGTTTCAATGTTGTTGGCTTTTGGACATTGGTTTTGGGGAAGGAGATGAGAAGTTTGGGTTTGTAGATTCAGCCTCTGGCTTTTGCAGTGAAGTGAGAGAGGTTAGAGTTAGACTCGAGAGACAGTGGTAGTACGTAGTAGGGTGGGTGAGCTGGGCGTGGGGGTGTGACGGTGATGATCAAAAATTAAAAATGGATAGTTTAATATTTATATTTTAAAAATTAATTTATTTTTTTAATCATACAATTTAGAATAAAATAAGACTTAATTATAAAATACTCTCTCCAAAGTATAGGTCATGTTAACAACCAGCTCCTCGTAATTTCAATTTAAACAATTTATTTCTTTCAAATATTAACATATTTCAATCACCCCGTTTTCGCTCTCATTGACCGTGACCGTCTAATTCGATAGAAATCAGCATTAATGCAATTAAAAGAAATAGATATCCTTTAATATCTATTATTTTTTCTTAAAAGAAACACATTTAAAATCTTATCTCAACACCACCGCCTACATTCACGCCCAATCACCTCCCAACCAGCACACCCCACCTATCCTTGCCCGTAAATAGCAATACCAAGAAGGATGGAGCTATCAGGGGACTGAGGTGGCCTGAAACCCAGAATAAAAAAATAAAAAAAAATTATCACTTTTGTACCCAGCTCACTAAATCACTAAACATTAGTCCAATTTCTCAACTAACCCAACCCAGCCCAAAACATTAGCCCAATTTAATCCTACACATATTTTACCCCCAAAACCATCTAGGCCAACACCACTTACCGTTACTCTGTACACGCAATACACAGTGTCTGACACCCCTACCCCCACCTTTCTCTGCACGATGAGACCTCTCTACCATGCCTTCGTCTTCCCCAAATCCATGCCGAAGACAGACATTACTTCCCCAAATCCAGGCAGCTAGACAGACGTCACTTCCCCGAATCCATGCCTTCCTCTTCACTTCAAACGTCTCTTGCCATAGCCACAGCCACACCCACCGCCACCGAGTTCGCTGCAGCCACTGCCAGGTAATCCCCCCATCCTTCTTCCTCTGTGTGCAAACTGAGAATGTATTTTGCTGTTCAGACTGAGTCTTTTTCTGAATTTTCAACATATAATAATCTGCCTTTGTCTTACAGACTGCTGATGCTTCAGGATCAGTCTGGGATCAGTATTTGCTGGATTTTGAAGCTGCAGTATTTGCTAGCTGGATGCTTTTGCTGAGATTGGTTGCTGCTGTGTTGATGAGGAGCTGGGCTTCTGATGTTGTAAGGCATGATGTGCAGTACTGCTGTGTATTCTGCATTGCTGTGTTGTATTTTAAAAAACAGTATCTGAAAATTATTTTTGGGAAGAATTTTAAGAAAGTGTTTTTAAACATTTTTAGATTGCAAAACCTATTTGGTTATATATTTTTGAAAATAGTTTTAAAGAACAAAAATTATAAAATTTATTTAAACAATAATCTATAATTTCTACCTCTCTTCAAATGTCTGTCTCTCTCTTTTTCTTTCACTGTGCATCAAGACCACCGCCGAAACCTACAACCACCCAAAACCCACAACCACCACCAAAACCCAAAACCACTGAAACCCACAACCATCACCTGTGTCTTAAACCCAGATGGAAAAAAAAAAAAGACACTAGAAAAGGACGGAAAAGACGCCAGAGATCGTCGGAGTTCTTGAACTCAAATTGTGGGTGTGTTTCGTTTGGATTTGTCAAAGTGGATAGAAAAATAGTCTTTGTTTCGTCTAAACAGTGTAGTTGCAGAGAGAGATTGTGTGTGTGTAGATGGAGAAAAACACAAGTGAAGGACTTTTATACTTCAAATGCATTTTGCTGCTAAGGAAATTTGATGGGTGGACTTCATTAAAGAGAAGAGGTTGTTTCCCATATTTTCTATTTTAGCCTGAAAACTCAAAAAATATCATTTTATTGTTCTCTAAAATCACATCGTAATTCCCAAAATTTTTAAAAAATTGGAGAACAAAAAAACTAAATAAACAACATTCTTCTTGTTTTTAGAATTTTAAGAACAAAAAACTATTTTTGAAAGCCAAACCAAACATGCCCCAAATTTCCCCAAAAAGTTCCAAAAAATATCAAACCATAAAACTTCCTTCTTTTCACAAGCACGCACGCGCGTGCATGCGCTCTTCTTCGTCTGTCTTCTCTTCTCATGAACCAGTTGCCACCAATCCTCAATTTGCGATTGGTTTAGATTGCTCACATCATAAACAAGACAAATTTGATTGAATTTTAACATTATTAATCATTTAAGCTCATCCCGAACCAAGTTTGAGAAGCTAGTTAGCAAACAAAAATCTATATAATAAAGTACAATACAATTTAAATCTCAAAAAATAAACAAAATAATTTTTACTTTTCTCAGCTGAGATCTCTTTAAATTTTACTTTAAAGTTAATTTAACGGCTAATATTAACACCCCAAATTTAATAAGAAAATAAACCCCTAAAAATGTGTTTGAGTGAATTTTTAAAAATACTTTTAGAACTTATAACTTCTCATAAATACTTTAAAAAAAAAAATAGTATTCGGAACCGTCCCACCATCACCACTGCCATCACCGCCGCCACCCCACCACCATAACTACCCCTACCACCATCACCATCACCCCCACTGCCCCACCCCACCCCCATCACCACTACTACCACCGCCGTCGCCGCCATTTCACCACCACCTTTGCCACGACAATTGCCATAGCCACCACTCCATCACCCCCATCGTTGTCGCCACCCTACCACCAACGCCACTGTCCCACCACCACCATCGTCATCGCCGTCACCCCACCCCCACCACTGGCTGCCACCCCCAGTACCCCACTGGTGACCTCCACCATCACCACCCACCATCAATTGAAACCATCGTCATCCACTGTCACCACCCACCCACCCACCATCATCGTCATCTCATTCTTATACTTATTACCATTACTACCATCATCCTACTACCGCCGTTAGCACTCATCACCACCATTAATGCCCACCACCACCCACCGCTACCAACTACCACAACCCACAACCACCCATCGTCTTCCACTATCGCCGCCAGACACTGTTATCCAACCCTACTACACCAACCACCATCACTTGTCATTGTCCACCATTGTCGCCATCTACTGTCATTCACCCCCACCACACCTACCACCATTATCACCATTGCTATTCACCACCACCCATCACACTGTCGCCCAGAAACACCCGTCATCACCACCCACCACAATCATCACTGCCCACCACCACTATCATCGCCCCACCATCACCACGATCGTTACCACCCACCATAACCATCTCTGTCTTCCACCACCACTACTACCACCGATTACCTCTACTACAATCGGTGTTTAAATTCTTTTATCTCTTTTCTATGTTTGTGATTTAATTTTAAATATAAATATAAATATATTTATTGTTAACTATTTTTTTTAATTACTTTGTGTCTTCACGCACAGGTAATAACTAGTTGCATTATCTAGATCAAGCTATTCGATCTTTTTTTTTCCAATAGAATTTGGAGTTTTAAATCTTACACATGAAGAGCGACCTCTTCTTTGTAATATAAGGAACTAAGGAGATGTGTGTGTGTGTGTGTGTGTCTATATATATATATATATATATATATACACACACACACAGAGAGAGAGAGAGAGAGAGAGAGAGAGAGAGAGAGAGAGTTGCACAAATAATTAAAAGTGCTAAGTGGGCTCTTGTTGGAGAGATCTTAGCTTGGCAGCCAATCGCAAATTAACAAACCAGAAGTCACCCAAATCTCAACAAATTTACAGGGGCAAAAGAAACCACCACTGTGGAACTAAGGTGGTAAAAAACACAAAGCAATCAGCTAGATTTCTAACTAACATGCAAATTTTGTACTTGGTAGCATAGATTTCTATTCAATACGTATTTCGTACCATACCTACCTTCTTCTGGAGATAGCGTAATATATGTTGAATGGAAATTGTTGGCTTGTCCGTGGTTTTAATACAAACCATTGCTACAGCTAAAAGTCCTTTCAGCTCTATAGCATCATAACTATTTCCAAGATCTGGGTCTATCATCTTATGTATCGATTTTGGAAAGTTAGACTCTTGGACCCATTGGATTAAATCAATACCTCCCTCAGATGACTGACCAGTGATTAGCTCGAGGATCAGCAAGCCAAGCTGGTAGATTATGTGTCTGCATACCTGACCTACACATTCTGCAAAAGATAGAAAAGGGGTAAACAAAGATTTAATCAAGAAACTAAACTGCTGTACATTCACGTACACGTGACAAGATTTACCTTCTGAACATAAAGAGTGAGGTAGTGGAACACGATTTCCACCAGAACTAAGAACACCAACATCAGCAAGCTGTGACAAGAAGGGGGAATGGTCATTGATTCAAATTCCAAAATATTACTACAATAGTGTGTGTTTAAGATTCTCAACAGGACATAAATATTCAATAATCATATTGCTTGTGTGCATGCTAGAACTCAATGAAAATATAAGTAAAGTAAAAAAACAACTTACCTTTGCGGTAAAGTTCTCATCTAACATGATGGTATTCGAACTGATGGAGACATGGTATATTGGAGGGTCGCAGAAGAAATGCAAATACTCCTGCATTATAATATTTTCGGAGCTAAAATTCTGTGAGTGTATCCAATATAGCTACATAAATACAGAAATTTCCTGTAAAGCTAAAATGGAGGTTCACATAATCACATACCAAATAGGTCATCCAATTTAATCCACCAACAATATATGTGGGAAACCATGGAAAACAAACTCTTGGGTTGGTGGATGCCATTCAACAGGATTTTTCCAATATTAAATGTTTGATCATTCTGTTGAAAACATAGAAGATGATCTAGTAGGTGTTCATCTATTGGGAATTTATGTTGCATACAGGGAGCATCTGTGAGACGGACAGAGTTCTAATGTGTCAGGATGATCTTGTAGGTGCTCATCTATACCAAGAATGTGTCAGAATCCCCAGTTCAGACATTGAATTTAAGAAGCTGATGAAATTCTCTTTTTCTATCACTCTTTATTTTCTAAAGATTTTGAAAAATATTATTTAGTTTAGTCCTAGCTTTTTGGTTCTATGTTTGAGTAATAGCAATTACAACTTCCTCTTTTCTTCCTAGGAACTTTTCGGTTCAATTAAGAAAAGACTTCGAGAGGATTGACATGTCTCTGGTGATATATTGTATGATATAAAGGAAGTATGCACCTTTGTACATGTCTCTAGTGATATATTGTATAATATAAAGGTGCATGCACCTTTGTACTCACCAATGCAGCTGACACGCCGATGATTATTTGTAGCCTTGTCCTCCAATTCAAGGGAGTCCGTAGAGGATCTGCCAAGAGCATAATGTTTTTATTACATAATCAAACTGAGAAATTATAGAGAAATTCTGCCACAAAGTTACCACTCAGATGCTCCTTCAGGCTTCCATTTTCTATATTTTCAAATACTAGGAACCTGAAAAGATCAAGGACAAAGCACAAATAAAACAAAAGGGCCATTTTAAGACCAACACATGAAGAAGTAAAAAGATTTGTGAGAAAAAAACAATGTACGCAGTGAATGTATATGAATCTCAATTTGGTCAACCCATGGGAGAAGATATCATTTTGGGAAAATAAATTACTTGCTGATATAGTTGTTTTTAAGTTCGAGCTGATGTAGCTAATGAGTAATAGGTAATGAAATGAGGAGTTATACAACACACAAAACAAGTCATTCCTAGTACAAAATGTACAGACTAATTAAATGCTGAAGGTCGTGCAAATTTAGAAAGTCATAAGCTCAAACACAACACTGGATCTGTTTTTGGATAAAAAGTATACATCACCAGACTCGATTGGATCTGACTAAAACATTCCGGAGAAATGCAGGGATTTTTGATTTAGAACAGTACACATAACAAGATACAGGACATTTCGATATAAAGTTTGAAGTTGACCTAATTATCCTATCAGCTTGTAAGAACTACAAGACAATACAAGGTACACATGCTATACACATGGGACCAACACCAAGGATCAAAATAGTTTTGATTCCACGGAAACAACCCAACATTGTTGTTCGGTGAAAATTGAAACAAATTAGTGATGGAACATCGAAATTCCTATATTTAGGAGTGTTCCAAAAGCTTGCGGATGTTTCAAAATGTTTTGACCCGTGTTTCGGAATTAAATTTCCAAATTTTTTTTCTATTTCAATTTTATTTCCAAAACGAGCCCATTTTCATGCTGACCAAAACTATGCAAAAAAAAACAAATTTTTATCCTCGACTGTCACAGGAACAACAAGAAAAAAGGACAGAGATAATAGCACATGCAGGAAAGAGACACGTGGAAGTCGTTATTCCTTTACCCTTCAGTGGGGCGCCCCAAGAAGGAGGGGAGGGGAGGGGAGGTTCAATAGTTAATTTGTGGGGACTAGTTCCAAAGGGAACTCCAAGCACAACAAGTGTTAGTTGTCTGGAATCCATAATAGGTAAGTCGGTGACAAAAGCAGAAACAGGAGTGGCAATTGAGAAGCTAGTATTTCAGGTCAAGTATCAATCAAAAATGCTGATTGGAATGAAAAAATAGCATGAAAGCCATTTAGGCTTCAATCCAACAGCTTTAGGTTGCTATTGAAGATCCAAGGAAAATTCTAGAAAATTGCTTGTATTAACAGATGCCTTAATTCTATCCATAAACAAGGATTGAAAAGTAACCGTTTCTTTTTGCTAATAAACAAATGTGTTATTCAGTTGGAGTCGTTCATCTAGGAATGCAGGGAAGGATTCAAAATTTTGGGCCTGGGTCAGTAAATGATGCCTATAAGCTTCAACAATAATCGTAGCAGACCTGTTCAATGATGGGTTCATTGTCGGAATATGATGAGACAATTAAGTAATTTCAGAATTAGGTTGGAATGCTACTACTCAACTAAGACATCAATTAGGCCGGGGGCACACTGCATAGCAAACATGGAACTTTGTGATGCTATTGGTCATGCTGTTGCAGTTTGGACGGTAGCTGCGAGATACTGTTCAGAGAGAGAAAAGGTTTCAACAATGCTCTCTCTCTCTCCACTTTTCTTGCATTCAAAGCACGAAAACCTAATTGTAGTAACTGTACCCTCTGGATAATAAAAATAGTTAGAATGCTCAAGCCAACGTAATGCAACAAACCTCTTATGCCCTGTGGAAAACCCACTAAGTGCAACAATGTGGCGATGATGTAAGCACCCCAAGAGTTGTACTTCTTTGTAGAACTCATGTTCTTGTTCACTGAAAACTCTTACTTCTTTCACCAGAGCAACATGACCATTTTGAAATTTGGCTTTATAAGCAGCCCCTTGTGACGAATTATCAATGATTCTGCGGAAATCATCTGTTGCCCTCTTTATATCCTTGTATGTGAAGAGCCTCACAAAAGAGAGAGGACCTGAAAAGGAAGTGAGAATCAGAAGCAAGTAGGAAGCATGTAAAAGTAGTTCTCATATAGCAGTGCACATGCTCTCCACCATAGCATAATTAGTATTAAAAAGTAAAATATGAAGCAGTAGGTAGAAAACATTTGTCTTCTAACGCAACTCTCGTTGACTTGGTTGATCAGATAAGTCCTTTTCATGGTTGGTTCACAATCAATGTTTACATAAAGTAACAAAAATCCAACTTCGAATTCGGTACAGAACCAGTTGGGGAGTTTCATGGGCTCCCACATGTAGGCAAGTAATAAGTTTTAGTCATTGTCAACTCTTTCCAACAATATATGGGAAAACATATAAAAAAATTCTTGCCACACCAAACTATGCTTCACAAACAGAATAACTATAACTTCATAAACAAACAGCAAACAGCACCCCGGAAAAAATTCATACAAGTCAAAAAATTTATTGTCCCATATTCGGTATAAAAAGTTCTCACACATACATAAATAACCAGAACACCATAATTTACTCCCCGTGTTCTTAATGGACAGAGGTCTTCTTACATTCATACCTAAATTGAGTTTGACTAAATAAGGCTAAAAGAGATTGATTGGTTCTAGAATCAAATCACTTAAAGTTAAGGCCATGTTTGGTTTGTGATCCAGAAACAGTTTTTTGTTCTTAAAATTTCAAAAACACCTAAAACCTATTTGTTTAACATTTTTGTTCTCTAAATTTTGGGAAAAAAAATGAAATTTGAGTCAAAAAAACATAAAACAGGTGTAGCCTGTTTTCAGAGTTTTCTTCGAAAATTTTGGAAACAAGGAGAACAATTTTAGATGTTCAGATATGGGTATATATATATATATAAATATTATATATATTATATATATATATTATGAAATTGTCAATATAAAAATAATTTTTTTATTAATGTTTGAATTACTGTTCAAATATATATTTAGGCTGTCCAAACAGGTTTTACTATTTTCTATATTGTAAAATTATTTTTGAAATCATCTAACCAAACAAGTTTTTTATCTCAAAAAATATCAAAACCACTTTTTTAAAATTCTTCTCAAAAACTGTTTTCGGATACTATTTTTTGAAACCCAAACCAAACAGGCCCTAAGTTTTGCAATAGAAATGAAGTTAATCACAATGGGAACTTAGCAAAGTATGACGCAAGAGACTACGCCACTGTCATGTATCAACATAAATTGGATAGTCATAGTGTAGTCAAATAGCAATATTGTATAATAATCGAACAACACATTTACCACGGCCTCTTTCCTTCACCATACAAATTCCACCTACCAAGGCAGAAACTAATATTTTCATTATACGTGAGCCCGCTAAAATAATATTCACGTCAACCAAAATGGATGGCATTGTTCTTAAACTCAACTCAATAATGCCTTGTCCCAACCATAGATACCGGGATCGTAGATACCCTAGCGTCCCAAGACCAAGATCACACAACCCGAAACTGATGGGTCCACGATCATGATCGCTCAAAATCTTCACCTCAAATCATAAACTACAAATTAACTCATAATGTAGGTAATCTCACATCATAGCCCCAACCCCAAATTGCAATGTTAACTTGTTAATTCTCTATTTTTGTGTTTTTTAAACTCATATTTTAACAACACTTATCAAAAAGGTATTTGTTAACTATATGTACATGAATGTATTACGCTATATAAAATTCCAAAACGAACAATGACAAAAAACGGCATATCAATTAAGTTTACTCCCATCGCACCACATATTAAAGAAGTATCGTATTGCATACCAAATCAACACACGACCCAAATGACATTGGTCCCAATATTTTTTAGGTCAGCTAAATGAATCATGTTTTGTCATTATGCTCTAAGGATCATGTTTTCTGTTAGACTATAAGTTATTCTATATTATTCTATCTTTCTTGACTGTGTTTCATTTAATTAATTTTCTTCTTTATTTACCCCTATACTTCCAATTTTTCACTGATATAAATCATTAACCCAAATAAGTTTTATAGGAAGGATAGAATAAGGAACAATTACATCTGCGAAAAAATAGAATTAGCACATATAGGAGACCAAACATAACGGCATGTTTAGTAAAATATATACATAAATAAGGCCGTTACTTATTCACTAAGATGTGAATGTAATATGCTTTAGGGCATACATCAAACATTCTTCCACTTTGTACTGAGTTAAGCCAAATAAGTAGACATAAAATTAGTTTTTTAATTAATAGAATAAGTTTTCTGACAGAAAAGGATGATACTGATGCTTCCCCTCTCTCGCATTTTTTATTGTTCATCAAAAGACAGGCTATTAAAAACATTAAAATTTTCAGAAAATATGTCCTAGAGTACTCGTCTAAAAACTGTGCTACCTCTTCAGCTCATGTATCTACTATCTTTAACATGGCACTGAAACAGAGCCTAACTAATTTTCAAAAGTCTAAACTATGAAATTGGATTCTGAAATACCATTCACCAGATAATATCAAAAGACTCATTGCTTCAGAATCAATTTTCCAAATGTCCACAGCACAATGCTTAGATCCTAGAATGCCCAATATTCAGAAAGAGAGACAATTGCTTTGCAACTCATCTAATGGCTGCATAATCATTGAATTTAGAACTCAGTAAAAATATCATATATACACATAAATAACGGCAATTCGACAGAATTGAATTTCCAAACTAAGTTTAATTAAATGGAAAAGAATTTCAGACACTGACAGTTAAATTATACATACATTAAGCATTCAAACTCTAATCCCCGAAAACCCAACAAAAATCAAAGAGAATTCTCGAGAATAAACCTATAATTCCGAAAAATTTGACTAAACCCACTCAAACGAACTTGAAAGCAGAATCTGTGAACTCTGTTTAGCTGTAGAAATCCAATAAACAGATAATTGGGAGTACCTGGACGAGATCGGAGGTGAATCCAAGAAAAGAGAAGAAGTCTGAGGTTCATGATCAGACTGTCCATCTTTGTCCTTGGAAGATTGGTCTGGATGAGTGTGATTGGACAAGTACTGGCACAGGCACCGTAAACTCTCCATTGATTGCGTGGTTCTAATCGAATTTGGAACCTTCCCTTGTGGCTTTTACCTTTGCTTTCTCGGTGAAAAGCAAATAAAGATCGAACTGTTGGTGGCCCGACCTTTAGGGCAACGAAGTAATGGTTTTAGGCTAGCCCAATTCACAAACAAGGTCATCTGTCCATATCTATTTATTTTATATTACTAATCCATGCACACGTGTATTTCAATAATTTTAAATTACATATTAATTTTATTTTTTTATTTTTTGTGCATGAAGGTTTAAACATAATAATTATTCAAAAAATAATTATTTTATATATTAAATATATGTTAAAAGAATAATTTATAAATAATTGTATCGTGTTATTTGTTCAAATCTATGCAAATTTAGTACTAATTTGTTTTTTTTAATAAAATATTCAAATATCGTCACCCTCGGTGAAATAGAAACTAATCTTAAAATTTAAAATTTCTTATTTTACATAGAACAATCTAGTAATTTGTTTTTTAATTGATCAACATAGTTATGTTACGATATCTTTTAGAGATTTAGATCGTTTGGTAGATTTTGGATTAACTATATAGGTGATAAAATTTGAGATCCTTCTAAGCTAAGCAATATTGTAACCACCGAGTCTCTGGCAATAGATCTAGTAAGTTAAAAGAATGCAAAACTGTGCAACTAATCTAATCATGCTACTTGACACTGCAGTTTCCTTTGTTCTAAATTATTCCAACAATTACTAAATACATAAAGGGTAAAATGAACAAAATAGATGTGCTCCTTTAATTTTTCTTTCTCTGATCTCTACATTTACCATGCTACTTGTTTTGAGTACAATGATCACTAAAAATACAAAAGAAGTCACAAAAATCAAGAAGTTAAGTAAATTGCACCACATAATATATTTATTGAATTCCATACAATTACAAATTAGGATAATCATAATCAAAGTAACTAAAGAGAGAAAATGGTAGCCAATATTTCACAATGTTCTCTAGTGCTCACCTATATAAATAGATGGGAAAGATTGTTGTAATATGCAAAAAAGAAAAAAAAAATTATTGTAGAGTATGGGTGTCTGTGGACTGAGTTACCCACGGTTCACGTTATCAACTTGAAAAAAGAGGTCTGATAGTTGGTCCGTCCGAACCCGAGCTCAAGCCCAAACAGAATATAGGAATGTCAATAGACCGAAGCGGGGGTGAGGGATATAATCTCCATCCCTGTACCCGTTTAAAAAAACTCCGTTCATCCCCGGTTCACCCCTATTAACGGGTATAGTTTTCATTCTCATTCCCGTCCACGGGTAAATTTTTAATTCCCGTCCCCGCTTCTCTCGTACCCGCCCAAGCCCAAATTAAATTATGAGCAAAACCACCAACAAATTTACAAAGATGTCTTTGCTCAAAGAGATACCATAAAGATACAAAATAGGCAACATTCACCAGAATCAACAAGATAGTGTAGAAGACATCTCATTGCTCCTCTTGGAAATAAAATATTTTTCAATACAAATTTCATATAACAAAAAGCACCAACATATAGTGTTGCCAACATAAAAAAACTAGAGCTCTGAAACTCGTACCCATTCAGTGTGGCACTGCTGGCCTTTGGGCTTGTCAATATCTACAGCTTTTTGTCCAGTGATGAGCTCCACTAATACCACTCCGAAGGAGTAAACATCGACCTTTTTAGTGATTTGGCCACTTTGAGCATATTCAGGAGCCAAATATCTACATAAGAGAGAAAAAGGACAAATCAGTGCACATTATTTTAGGATTAAAAAAAAAAAGAAAAAGAAGCAGAAAGCAATCTTTCATGTCCACCCAAATGTTCCAATTATCCTAGTTTCCATGCCTAGATCTCCATCTGGCTTCCATCTTGCTAATCCAAAGTCTCCAACCTTAACAAAAGAAGAACTGGCTTATTGGAAGGACTAAAGGAGTAAGATAGGGATTTAGGGTTGAACATATATATATATATATATATATATAGATAACGGGTATCCGGGGCGGGGGCGGGGGTATGGGTAAGTCCATCTTCGCCTTCATTCTCGTACGAGTTTATACGGGTATTCCCGTATATATCTATCGTCCAATACGTATAATCCATCTCCTGTCCAAACAGGGCAGGTTTGGGTGAATACTCCGTTTTTCTCCGGTCCACTGTCATCTCTAGCTGAATATCCTTTAAAAGAGGGCATGTGTTTGCCCCCAAACCTATTATCTAGCCCGAAGCCTGGCTCAATAGCCCGCTCGGAAAAACCCTTTAAAACTTGACCCAAGAGCCCGTCCGTCCACCCTTCATTTGAAAAAAAGTTATACTTTTAGACCATTATAGTTTGAAATAAGTCTTCCAATGTCAGAATTTGAAGTTTTAAAAATTTTAAAATTATAATTAATGTATTATTTTTTTCATGTATTAAACATAAGAGTTTTAAAAGGTAGAGTAATGAAAATGATAGATAAGTGAGTAAATGTCAATCTAGTTGGGATATATTCATTCTACTGGATGTAGTTCATCCCCTAATCCAAAATAAAATTATTTATTATTTTATTTTTATCCATTTTTACTTTACTTTTGATTCAAAAATATAATCTACAAATATTAAGTTACAAAAATATTCATTATTTTTAAATAAAATTGTATATAAAAAAGCTTGGGAGTAGGCCCAACCAGCAAGCCAACCCACGGGCTCGTCCAATAGGTTTGCGGGTTTGGGCTGCGGGTAACCTACCTTTACCCGAAGCTCGCTAAATAATTCACTTGAGTAAGGGATTTAGGAAACTTATTTGCAATAAAAGGGTATTCAAGTCTTTCTATGTCTTAAGTGAATTTTTTTTACAAAATATTTTTTCCTATGTACTTTTTGGTAATTAAGTCTAATTTCTTGTACTGACTTCCAAAGGACCCATAATATTGATTAGAGGTCTTTCATTGAACTTTAAATGGATGTTTGGAAGCATATGACCCAATTTAATTATTCAAAAGATTATAAGGTTTAAAGACCTCAAAGCCTAAAAGCTATCCCTTCAAATCGTCTTTCATAAATGCAACATTTTTTACACTAGGCATGTTAAAAGGGATATTTTCAATTGGTAGTTTAATTTTGGGTAGTTGCGTCTTATGAGTCCTATTTTTTTTTTAAATCTAGTTCGTTTTTTCATCATACGAGTACTTTGTTATACTTTCCCACTTTTCATTTCTCTATTTTTTTAAATTAAGTTCTTAAATATTGTTAAGTAGATATCCTTTACTTAATGGCTATCTTTGTTGGTTTGTCACAATCTTTTTGTTTTAAATAACATGAGCAAAATGATGTTGCTGCTATTGGATTAAGTGTTTATTTTAGAAGGCAATTCTCTTTTTTATTATTAGTAATTCTTCCTTTATTTTAGGCAAATTTCATTTTCTTTGTGTCATTTGATTCAATTTTTCCATGCTTAGCAATGAATGCTTTAATTTTTGGTTTTTGATGTGTAACTGCTCATGGTTCTTGACGGGATTTTAGGCGGCTCAGCGGCCCCCAAGTTGACACGTGGATTAATATAGTTGTTATTAAACTCAGAAGACGTCGGGAGATGACGATGAGCAGATTATTACTTAGGAAATGCGAGTACACCTATTGACACCAGTATTTAATAAGACTTGACAGCTCATTGATGAGGATATGACTGACTAGGACAAGACTATTAATGAGCCCCTACATCCTCGAGACCCAAAGCAGCAATCATGATTGTGAAACATTAATGGCTATTCCCTCGAGTATATTCCTTCAACGCACACCGAGTTACTATTTTTTGAGCAGTAAATACTTGGGAATAGGTGTCAGACACCGATCAAAGGGACTTGATTGCCCAGGGATAGCCATAAGTGCTCGACATGGTCTCGAGCACTTGTCTTATCACTCTATCATTAAAAGCATGAGGATTTGAGTGAAAAACATTTATTAAGCATGGGAAAGGGTGCAGATCATTAAATGTCGAGATAGGACTGCCTATTCTTACACTCATTACTAATCCAAGTATTAATTCTCCTCAGAAAAGTGAAGCAAGGTATGCAAGATTAAACTGAGAGAGAAATACATTGTGCTCAAACCTCCAAATTTATACTGACTTAAGCTTCGAAGGGGATAATTCGGGTATTCATCCAACCCCTTTTCTGATCTTGTGGTTGTTTCAGGTTTATAATCGAGAGAATTGTTATCTCAATATGTTACATGAAATCTCCTGTGCAATCTGACGCCATCTATGGGAACATACAAACTTTTTCCCGTAGCAATTGCATCATGATGAACACATGATCCCAAGGTGATGCGGGAGGGAGTTTACACATGAGGAACGCGGAGGTTGCCCAGCTCCCAGCGGTCACAAAGTCAGACCCCTTGAGTCAGTCAGATGGAGGCGAGCATGCCTCGCAACGAACGTTCCCCGTTAATCAAGGCCTTGGGGAGAAAGGTCTCTTGGCTCATGAGATCGTTGAGTTGGTAGAAAAATGGATGGGAAAGCGCATCAAGCAAATTGAGAAAAATAACGTCAGGGTACAACACCGGTTTGATGATTTCGAGCAATCAAGAAGTGCTAGTTGGCGAAGCAATCAGCGTGAAGACTAAAGTTTCAGTCGAGGCGATTCTAGGGGCGTTAAGCTAAATCCCCCTGGGAGGAGCTTGTGTGGGCGCATGATCAAGATGCACAACCCACGAAGTTGGGGAAAGCTTCCTCCCGAGGAGGGATAGGAGTGGAATCACCACAGGGTGGGCCTGTCCCAGTGGGACCTCTGCTATGGACTATCAAGGGGTGCCATGACAACCGAGTCCTATATGGAGTCCACCGCGAGGGGGCCTAGAGAAGGACGATCTCTAGGGGACCTCCGAGCGAACCTAGATGCCAAGCGCTAGAGACCTAAACCCGAGGGGGATGAAGACGAGGACGAACAAATCATTTTCCCGTTCGTTCAAGCGATCCGGGAGACCAAGATGCCAAAAAGTTTACGGTCCTCCGATTCAAGGTTTATGATGGGAGAGCAGATCCTGAGAGCCACCTACGACAATACAAGCAGCTGATGTCCATTTATGACACTGACCAAAGGCTTCTATGCCGAGTTTTTCCATGAGTTTGGGGGACACTACAAT